ATGCTCCAGTCTGTATTGGAAGAAAAATATTGGAAAGGACAGCAGTACCAAACACAGCTCTTACCTGTGGTTCATTAAAGCACAGACACAGCTGCGTTCACAAATCACTGCCAGCTTCTGGGTTCACATTCCTGCCTATTTTGAAGCAGCTCTTTCAAATCAGATCCAGTTGATACAACAGTGCTTTCTTCTATTGTCCAGAATGCTTTTTATTGCTTAAAACTTTTTTTGTCCTTTCTGGGCAGATGAACACACTTTAAATAAAACAGTCCCATGTTTTGGTTTCAGCACCAACCACAATGTTTTACTTTTTAAAATGTTAAAATGCCAGCTTTTAACTTCCAACTTTTAATTTAGAGCTTCCAATCAGATGCCAGCTTCTTGTTTATTATTTAATTTAAAGAATCTAAAAAAAAATCATAAGGTGAAGTAGGGGGCTCTAAGGGCATTGTCAGTGGGGGAGTGATGGCTATAGGCATGTGAATTATTCCTGGAAAATAGGGATGACCCCCTCCCAATCTTATTGTTAAATAATAAAATAACAAATTAGATATTTTTCTAATTACCGAAAGAAAAAATTCTGGACCTCTTTGGTCTAATGTTATTGCCTCCTAAGAATTTCTTTAAGGGTAATGGAAAATCTCTGGGCATCCTTATGAAGTTTTAGTCTCTTGCTTCACATTGGACCATCAACACCATGACATTCATTATGCAGCTAAGCAATATCACCAGTGCTAGTAAATGTGGCATTTGCTTCCTTTGGGATATTTTAATCAAATTCTTGGAAGCCAGAATAGGAGATTTGGCTCTTCCATCATCAAATGTAATATTGGGAATACCTTTGTGGTGCAAATGCTATCAGGATCTGATTAAACAACATCCAAAGAAGAGGACCTATCTATAGAAATAACACGTTAAGTAAACTTTAATGTCATGTGTATATGGATTGTATATAACTGAGCACCAGAATATTCTAGATGGGATTTTTTTCCCCAATAGAGAATATTTGTAGTAGCTCAGGGTTAAAATAAGTGCTCTTTGAGCTTGTTTTCTCGCAGACATTTCATTACCCAAACTAGGTAACATCAGCAGTGCTAGACTGTTGATGTTACCTAGTAGTTTAGGTAATGAAATGTCTGCAAGAAATGCCTGCAAAAATGTCTGCAACTCAGAGAACACCAAGGACTCCCCATGGGATGTTTTTCTCTTTACCCTGTGGATAACTGGACTATTACGTTTTTGAATATTGGCTAAAGTGAGAGGAAAGGCATGTTATTTTTTTTCAAAAGCTATTTGAATGATGGTCTGTACATTTTAAGGTTCCTTTTTATAGAGTTGGTCATATAACCAGCCGATAAGTTCAAAAATACTTTTATACTCGCTGACTCAAAGCCTCTTATGGATTTTTTTGCATAAAAATGGAAAACAACAACAACTTGGACTTATGGTGTTGATTAGATAGAAAAGATTATAAAAAGAAGAATATGATGAGGTTAAAATATATTTGTACTCATAACTGCTATGAAGAATGCTGAAAACCACCTCCTTATATCTTTTTTCTTTCTTACATCTTTTGCTTTTCTTTGATTAGTAGCTTTTTTTATTTTTTCCCTTTTTTTCTATTAGTTTGTGTTAGATGTTACCTTCTGGTTTAAAAGTTTTAATAAAAATTACATATTAAAAGCCTTTTAAATTTGACTGGATGAATAACTTAACCTTCAAAATTGAATTTTAGTTTGAGCTTCGATGCTACAAAGGGTTCCATAAATTTTCAGGTGTATACCGGTAATTCATGTGTCAACGCTGCAATGAACTTGGCTGAAGCCATTTTTGCTTCGTTTTCGGTTGCCACAGTAATGGGAGGGGGGAATGAGTGATTCTAAAGTTAGACTAAACAATAAACTGTCCTGTGGGAACTAAGGTCGTTGCTGCCTGGGTTTTGGCGGGCTGAGCTTTCCATTAGAAAGCCCGCCAAAGTAGTTTATTGGGGAATGTGATTTGTGACATAGCAATGGGGTGGGAAGTCCAACTTTATAACATTGTAACCTTTGGGAGGGAACTTCAGTCTTGGTTTCACTTTTGACTGTACTGATACTTTGTAGCCAATAAATACATTCTTTAAGGAAACCTCTTGCCTTGGAATTCTGTTTTTACTGGTCTCATCTATCGGAACCATGACATCATGCTTCTACTACAATCAACTCTGAAACCAAAACAAGCTGTATTTTTTTTCTAAATCAAGCTCGTACTTTAAAATGGCAATTGGCCAGAGACCATTATTCTTTTAAAAATTGATGGGGTCCGACTGAGCAGTGCTACAGCACTCTTTCTCCTATTATGCAGAAAATAAGTAGCTGACACATCAGTTTTTAAGAATCCTGCACATGAATACAAGATTAGTCATGCGTCTCCTGCAGTGCTCTCTCCCCATCCTGTGGTGACTCAAGGAAATACATGAGGAGGTTTCTTGCCAGGTACAATTTTTTAGCTATGAGGATAGGAAGAAAAGGTTTTTAAGGGCTAAACAATTCACCCAGAACGTCCCTAACAAGAGGCACATGCAAAACACAATAGGATAACTGCTGAAGGTACAGTGCAAACATCTTCAATCACCACTATAGCATCATTTTATTTTATTTTCTCTTCAGAAAGTGCCTCTAAATTTGTGAATAGTCAAATTCCATGGTTAAACCGGTTTCTATTGTTTTGGCAAGGAAGCATAATCTATTTTAAGTCCAGGAGAGAATAGCATTGGGGTTCCTCTCTTTGGCTATGGCTATGCAATGAATGTATGCATTCACTGGCATTTTTAATTAAACTGTAGCTTGCGATTGTATTTTGAACCTGCCCAGCTAGATGGCTGATCTCAACATGCTAAACAGACTAGAACTGGATAGTTCTTTGATGTCAGATTAACAAGAAAGTCCAGGATTGTTACTAGACTGAGAAATTTACAAATTATCCAGGAATAAAACATCAGCAAAAAAATATCTGTGTTGTTGCCAAGAAAAATTTTTTTGTCCATAAGGTTGAATTCAGTTCAAGGACTTTACTTACATTCTCCTAAAACAAGCCAACTTTAAGCTGTGACAATAACATGTGGGCAACTGAAAATATGAAACTAAAAGCTTGACACACTCCACATGGCCATGCCAGAAAAGGAGAGGTGTATGGGACCCCAACATTTGAATATATAATGACACTAAGTGATAGTTCAACATTTCATCTGAACCAGGCCTCTGCTCGATCACCAAACAATATAAAGACTAAGTTTGTGTTTAGACGTGAATCTTTTTCATACTGTTGCTTTTCAACATTGCTGCTGTTGCTTGAAAATCTGCAATGCAGTTCCTGTTCAATTCATTTCCAGTGAATGGTTACTGGAAAGAAGTTTCCCTGTAAAACAACTTCCTTCAGTGTGCAGACTAGAGTGGAATATACTCCAACTGCTATCTGCTATTCCTGTTCATTTCAACTCTCTTTTTCACCCTTTTGCTTCTTCTTCAGTTCTCCAAAGAAAGTAGTAGTTATGATCAGGCACGTGAGTGTTTTATATAATTGTGTAGCACCTTTCCTTCTTTAAAAAAGTGGATTTGGGGAATTTTAAAATACTTAAAGTAAGTCAGCACCTTCCACTTAATCCCCATGCTTTAAACAACATGATTCCATAGACAACCAAGGAAGATTAACTTGAAACAATGATTTGTTTGGGAAAGTATCCCTTACAGAGTTGAAGAATGGCCACTTCTACATACACCTAAGAAAAAATTCCACTTATTCAGAGTATCAAAGGTGAAAATCAGGGAAAGGCGGGATGTGGCATTAATTTTAAGTGTACAATGTATTGACCTTCCAAATTCCAATATAAGAAAAAAAAATGACGCATGTACAAATCCAGTGTGCATTCTCACAGCTGAGGAATTCATGGAAATAGGGAGAGGAAGAGCAAAGATCATTATCACTCCTGTAGCACTCCTGAGTTTTAAAGATATGTAGTCTCCTATATTATACCACACTTTGAAGTTTCATGCGCTTAAGTCTTTCCAGCTACACAGATTACCCTTCTTAAGAGAGGTGAAAAAAGACAAGGCAATAGGGCAAAAAGGTGATGAAATAGTCTAGATGCTCCATGAAATTGCCATACAGAATGTGCACGTAAAATGAGCTTCTGAGAAATGAAATTTTTCATGGAACAGAACCCTTCAGATGTGTGAGGCAGTTTATGGTCCTCAAAAGCGCATGACATTACAAAATGGGTAGTCATGTTTAGTTGCATAGACTGACTCAGTTATCCTTTTGAAGGCATTAATTAGCCTTGCTAAATTCTTGGCCACAGGCTTAAGGTTCTGCCTGGACCATAACACCAAATCTTATACAGTTGGACTAAGAAGCAAATGCTGACAAATGCTTATTTTTTGTCTAGGTTATTCATATCAGTGATCGCCCAGAGTCTATTAAACATAAAGAATACAGCATTATTTTAACATTTAAAAATAATACTATACACTCCATGTTTCATTAAGGCTTTCGGTTGATTTGCACCTAGCATTTGCTTATAACTGCTTATACGTTTAGGGTGTAGTTTCAAACATTATTTCTTGTCCAATAGAATTACATTTGCTATTTACAAAGAGAATCCCCAACAATTGATAACGGATTAGCTCATATACAAAACTTGATGGGTTCTATCATCACCACTCAAGGTTGTCACTCATATCAGGTGGGAATCTTCCATTTGTTCTCAGTGAAGCAGAGCATTCAGAACAGCTTTCATACAGAGGTTATTATCCTCTTCATAGTGAGACACCCCAACCATGGACACACAAGGCAGGGCTCCATCATTTTGTACTAGCCTAAGCAGGAACTTTCAGTTAATCTTGAAACAGAAAACGGCAAAATGCAATATATGTATATATACATACATACATGATTCAACTTGATTTGACTCTCAAGCCTTTGCAATGAATTAGGGCATGTTAAAATGCTTAGTTGCATTACAATATATTTTATCAAGGTGATAAATAATTTTTTTTAAAAAAGCTTGTACAAAAATAAAATATCTGCTCCACAAGTAAAAGGCAAGTACAAGTGATCTTCTGAAAGCCCTTTGAAGAAGCAAAGACTGCTAAAGCAACTGAGTTATAACTTTGGTATAAAAAAATGTAATTGCTTGCGAAGCATCCGTGCTATTGGCATGGAAATTTGATGCTGCCCTGTTTATTCTTACTGTCTTCCTGATGAATCTTCCATGTATAACATACAGATGTTGCTAACATGTCTTCCTATGATAATTGGGGAAAATCCCAGCACCTTCTTGGCTTTTCCCAGGACTCTGGAGTCTAAAATGAAACGATAATATGGATGGAATAATAATATTGATGGAAAGGTGGAGAAAAGTGAATCTGGTATGTAAAGCATAATGGATTTTCTTTCAACAAATATTTCACAAAAATATCTTGCTAAAGTTTTACTCAGGGAGAATCAATTATAAATATAGTGACAACTGACTTCTACAGAAGGATATTTAAGCCAATTTTGGGTGATGGATTGTTTGATCTTAAAAAGACAAACCTGTAAATCAAGCTACAACTTTAACATATGTGTTAAAATGTTAAAGTGTCTAAAGATATGCAAAACACTCTCATGTGTTCTATACTATCTTTTCAATTTTGGACAGAAAAACATTTCCGTTTACCAAAACTGAGAAGAAAGGAAATTCCCAAGAGTGCTAATGTCTATAGAATAGAATAGAATAGAATAGAATAGAATAGAATAGAATAGAATAGAACACAATAGAATAGAATAGAATAGAATAGAATAGAATAGAATAGAATAGAATAGAATAGAATAGAATAGGAGCTGGAAGGGACCTTGGAGGTCTTCTAGTCCAGCCCCCTGCTCAAGCAGGAGAACCTATACCATCTCAGACAGGTGAATGTCTAGTCTCTTATTGAAAATCTCCAATGATGGAGTGCCCACGATTTCTGGGGGTAAACTGTTCCACTGGCTGATTGTCCTTGCTGTCAGGAAGCTTCTCCTTAATTCCAGGTTGCTTTTCTCTTTGATCAGTTTCCAACCATTGTTTCGCGTCCTTCCCTCTGGCACTTTGGTGAACAACCTGCCCCCCTCTGCCTTGTGGCAGCCCCTCAGATACTGGAACACTGCTATCATGTCTCCTCTATTTCTTCTTTTCTTTAGACTAGCCAAATCCAAGTCCCACAGCCGTTCTTCGTATGTTTTAGTCTCCAGGCCATTGATCATCTTAGTTGCTCTTCTCTGAATTTTTTCCAAACTCTCAACATTTTTTTTGTGATATGGTGACCAAAACTGGCTGCAGTATTCCAGGTGTGGTCTTACAATAATATACTAAATTAACAATTGAATTGCAGACTATCAAAATTAAACCTTTGAATTCAGATGACAAGGGAATGTCAATATAAAATAAGGAAAAGTGAATGAGACAGAGAAAGCAGCCTATGACAAAAGCAGATAGAGTTTAGGAAAACGATGGATTTTACTGGGACTAGCTTTGTGCTTTAATTGCATACATTCCCCTCCTTGCTCAGCCCACATCCACCAAGGTTAGAGCTGCGTTAAAATGTATTTGATAGAAAGCTAATAGAGCCCTCTTTTAAACTGGCTCAAGTCAAATAGCAAAGTTTTATTACCTGGATTCCAGCAATACATGAAGAATGCTAACCCTGCAGCAACACTGAAGCAGGCAAGAAAGAACGCAGGACCTAGAAAAGGAAAGAAATAAAAGCAGCAGGTACTTTGTTTTCTCCTTCACATTTCACAATATAATTACCATTTTTTTCCTAATGCAATTAGAATTATGGATGTCTTTATTCCTTGTAACTCTTTTTATCATCAGCCTTTTTAAAAGCTTGCAAAAAGAAAATCTCTTCAGGGATTTAAATTATACATTAATAAAATAAGTTTGGCTTCCCTTGGCTGTTTAAACTGTAAAATAATACCATCTAATAGAAACTATGTGATTATAGATGCCTTTCCTATGGGTTATCCATGTTCACCTTCCCAGGCACAGAGCTGAATAAGATACAGGGGGATATGATAGGACTAATGATAAATATCTCCTCCTGCAATCTCCCTGCCAACTGTATGCTTTTCACATCTACACATGTTAAGTGTAAAAATCTGCCAAGGGTTATGTAACCAAATACAATTGGTAAATTGGTTTAAATATGCAAAAATATTTTTCAGAGCTTCAGAAATTTAGAAGCTTGCATTATTAGAGCTGAAAGCAAATGTACGTGTCCCAGGCAGGATCCAATTTGGATCAGTCACCGGGACCAGAGGTTTTGACTCATGCTGGAGCCCATGCTCAGGTAAACTTCTGGTCCTAGTGACTAACCCTGATTGAATCCTTGCTTACAGGACCCTAAAGCCAGAGGTACATTTCTTTTCCCCATCCAATTTGTGCCCACATAGTAAAAGCTATGAATGCTGAGCCTTTTTCAGACTAGATGATATAGACCAATTCCCATCTCATTTAATTACAAATGATGACCACTGGTAACCCAATGCTGATCTCCAGGGGTTCAAATATGTTATTTGTGTATTATTATTATTCCATAAAGGGCAGGGCCTCAACCATTTGGGAGATGAGTATCATTCATGTAGCTGTTAGGATGAAGTCAATGGGCACAGCCTTAATGGTACAGCACTAAATGTCTTTTTAAAAAGAAAAAGAGAGAGAGAAACCTGACATATTTTGACTGGGGATAGAAAAGGAGCTGGGTGTGTAGTTTTTTACATTATAATAGGCTCCTTAACAAAGTGCTGGGTTTGGTACAGCATTAACAACCTCTACCTGCCGAGTTGCTTCCCTGCCTTCTGGCTTCAAAGGAAGAACAGAAGAAAAGAAAAAAGGAGTCAGGGGCCAGAGGGCAGCTAAAGGGAACGTTCCTTTTAAAAATTATATGCGGAGATATCATAAGAGGAAGTAATGCACATATCTGAACACTCAGGAGCCTGCCAGGAAACCCAGCCAGCAGGTAAATTTAAGTTTAAAACAAAGTGAGATTGTTTAAAATTAATTACATTAAGGTAGTACTTTTGTTAACCTTATTATTCATATGCAGCCAACAATATTTTACGCATGTTATTTACCCCTGTCATTTAGATTATATTTCTCCTTCTCAGGGTTTATCCCTGTGGAATCTGAGGTTTCTAGAAACAAAAGCAATACACTGAGTTAGTGCTGTATACAGTCCAACAAATTTCGGAAACAAATCATAAAAAAGTGAAAATAATGTTCAAAGTAATATAATCAAGACAACATGGCCTCTAACCCTCGTGTAGACATTATCTTCTATATTTAGCCTATTTCATACTTGTGTTTTGCTGATTTGCTGCTGCATATAAAGAGAAGGTTCTGTCATAAAAGCATGTTGGTATAAATGACATTAGACGTTTCAATGCTTGACTGGCAATTTCAGGATATTTTTTGTAAAAGTTCCATCCAGAAATTCATACTTTCTACATAGGAAAATGCAGTTTGTAAAGTGAAATCAGTTGAATTTAATTTGTGCCGTTAAAAAAAAGCAGCATTACCAGTAGATTGCAATTTGATATGCTTTTTCTGTATGTCTGCAATTGTAGCCAACAAACCATATCTGGTAAAAAGTTCAAATTAAACAAATAGTGATTATATACATGCACATGTACACATACTAAGGGGTCTAGGATTGGTGTTGAAGGCATTTTTCCCCCAAACATCCTTCTTCCTCTTTCTTCACCTGGCTTGAAAAGCCTTGTTCCTATGGAGATTTTTTTTTTTAAGTTGTTTTACAGCAAAACAAACTAACCAATTTTCCTTCTCATTCAAAAAAGGATTTAATTGTGGAAGATATTTTCAATTATAGCTATTGCTTCCTGTAGTCACTTATTTCTTTGTGATATTTATATCTCGTTCATAACTTTTGACATTTGTTTGGAATTTTTTTTATACCCAAATGCACCAGCAGAAATAAGCCAAGCTTGGACCACGATCAATAACTTGAAGGGAACAGCCTACCCCGACCTGTTTTCCAGATGTGTTGTGATTTACTTCTCCCTCCCCGAAACTAATTTCAGGAAGTCCTTGACTTACGACCAGTCATTTAATGACAGTTCAAAGTTACAATGGACTTGAAAAAAGTTACTTACCACCTATCCTTGAAGTTACGACTGCTGTACCTGGTTGGAGTATCCCATAGTCATCTCACATTTTCTGACATTTTTTTGCCATTTTCTAGCACCCATTGGCTAAAATGGGCTCACGTTTATGACCATGTGATTCTCTTAGCAACAATGGTTTGCTCAATGATCATGGTGACTTGCTTAACAACCACTATAAAAACGGTCCTAAAATTGAGTCCAGTGCCTTGACTTACAATTGCTACACAACTTAAGACCAAAATTCCAGTCCCAATTGTGTCTTAGTCAAGGATTACCTGTAAGACCTCTAGATGTGGTTAACTTTGAGTCACTATTGCGTTCAATCACTATTAGCAGTAAGTAGAACATACAGTACTTAGCATGTCAAACTTTAACTTAGTTGCCATAAGAAAAAATGAACTATTTTAATCCCACTTTCAAAACTTTCCACACAGTATGTCTGCCATAGATATTTGTATTGAAGCAGCATGTTAAGAAAAGCCATCTGAGAATTTGGACTAAATCTGGATACTCCATAATATGTAATTTTAACTGCCATGTTGTCACAATGTCTCCTAATATTGGTTTGCATATAGCTGGAACGTGCCCTTGGTGCAATTCTCAGACATTTGTTTAAAAGCCAGCTGTTTTCTATCTGAAAGTGCTCTTCATCCCTCACAGACCAAGCTCAGTGCTGTATTCAAAATCAATGTTTGAACACTAAGAATGGGTCTCAGAAACCAGCACTTACAGGAGGGAAAAGCTCCAGCTGACAGAAGTGGTAGAAAGCCTATGCTTCCAGTCTCTTTTCTCATGCACACTGCAAACCCATGGGATTTGTACAATTGACAGCAAGGCCTCAGGGTATCATTATACACAGTTGCAACATGTAATTTGCACTGGAAATCCATGCAAAAGTCTAGCTTTTTATTGTTTAAAAAAAGGGGAAAGCTCAAGTCCAAAATCGTAAGACAAAAATAAATGTGGTTGACTGATCCCCTTACTTTGTTCCTGGAACATGTTGAACTAAATCTACAAAAGGAATTGATTAACTTTTGCGCTTTCACAGAAGCTAAAGAGCAAAGTTGTTGTTTTTTGCCTTCTTAACCATGAAATACATTTGGAAAGCTTTTGAAAATATAAGCCCTTATATTGGTCACTTTCAGGAATAGGAAAATTGTGAAAGATTCTAGGGAGGCAATATGTCCCACTGGTTATAGCCTTTCCATTGCAAAGTACAGTGGAAGAATGTTGTATTAAAAGATTCAAATCACTTAACACCAGACAATCCATATGTCTAATAAAAGGCCTTTAAACTGAAGCATGTTCCTAATTCCCATCATTGCTGTGACACAGACAATGGCACTTGGGTATTTTATTGCTATCACTATATAAGCTAATCATGATTTTTCCAAACAATACTACAGTATAATTTTATGCACTGCCTCCCAAGAGTAAATTGTATTGAGTTCAATGGAACAGGTTACAAAATATGTTCAGCTCATATTTTGTTCCACAGCTGCATTTGCCATCTATTCCCCATAAAACTCAGTTGAGCTCCCTCCCTGCTTCTGTCAGAGCAGTCGGTGGTCTCAATTCCTTGGGAAAAATACAGGATACAAGTATGATTACTAAACCTTTCCTTCAAGACAGTCAAATATATTGCAATAGGTCAGAGATGCTCTTTGCTAGTCTGTTGCTCAAGCCTCACATGCTTGCTATAGCCTGGACTGCAAAAAGAACTATTTAAAGCAGAGGTCCCCAACCTTTTGGGCACCAGGGATCGGTTCTGTGGAGGGAGGGTTTTCCACGGACCAGAGAGTGCGTGGTTTTGTGTGCTACCTGCGGATGGGGCTTTGCTTGTTTGTGCAGACCAGTTGCTGGCATGCCTTGGTACTGGTCCATGGACCGGGGATTGGAGACCCCGGATTTAAAGGAACATAAATCAACCACTCAAGTCTTTTATTCCAGGGGTCCCCAATCCCTAGTCCGTGGACCGGCACTGGGCCGCAGCATGCCAGAAACCGGTCCATGCAAACAAGCAAAGCACCATCTGCAGGAAGCAGGCAGTACATGAAACCATGCCCCCTCCGGTCCATAGAAAAACCTCTCAACGGAACTGATCCCTGCTGCTCAAAAGGTTGGGGACCTCTGTTTTATTCTATTACTTCTATGGCAGATATCAGATATTAGAGTTCTTGACACTATTTTAGCTAGGAGAGCAATACAACATACTAACAACTAAGTCCAGGCAACTAATAGATAAATTATAAAGAAAAGTCAAGGCTGTCTGGGGGAGGCAAAGATGAAACATGCATTGCCTTGCAAACTCTAACCTTTATATACTTGTATGCCATGTAATCATACAAGTGCAAAAGAGCAGAGTCATGTCGTGTTATGTCATAATGCAAGCTTCATTACTTTGGTATTATTATGGGCAGGAACAGAAAACCACAACGATACATCTGGTTTTCAATGAAGCTTCTCCTGTCCATTGTACAAATAGTTTACTATGAACTGAGAAACCTGACAAATGATGTACAGTGCTAAAAAGTAACCCCGTCTTAAAGCTTAAGTTAGCACATTAACCACAGTCAAACTAAGCAATATTATTCTGATTCCAGACTGTTGGAAGGAAATCATAGAAATAATATTTGAAATGAACCTAATTTGAAAATCGAGAAATTTTCCTTCCCTTACAATTCAGAAAAAGTAATCAGAAACTGCAGTTCTTGACACTGTTTTAGATAAGCTGGTATGCCAGAAACAATGCAATGCCTGTTTATTACAGCAACCACAAAAGAGAAGCTTGCATACCAAATCAATTGAACTGACATATTGGCAAATATGTTTTCTAGACTGAACACCTGCAAATTGTTAAGGGGAGTAAAGTACATCTATGATTTCTCTTTGCTACCTGCAATCTATTTATTTGAACAATTCACTCTTTTTTAATTAAGAGTTTTAAATAATTTTCCATACAATATCCCACTTCCCTCCCCCCCTCCCCCCCTTCCCTTCCCAGAGCTGGTTACAGGGTTATAAAAACAGAATCATAAATTAAATAACATTACCCAGATATACTACAGTCAAGTCTCATCCACACATACTTTAACTCTACAAAATAGATAGATCTTAACACTTTTCCAGCAAAATAATAATATAATTAAATATTATTACTAAAAATAATATAAATTCATCCATAATAAACTATTAATAATATTCTAAAATTTACTCATAAGCTAAGTAATACTTTTCAATCTCGTATTTTTTCTGAATATAATCAATCCATCTTCTCCAAACCAAAATATATTTTCAATTCACTCTTGTAGTTTGCCAACAAAATGAAAGGATAGATTGGATATGTTGGATATTGAATTCTTGCTAATTTCTGACCTTGTTTGTTTACCTGCAAATGTTTCATTACCAGGCTAGGCAACATTATCCATGCATGGAGAATGGGATTTGCTGTCAATTGTCTGATTATATACTAGCCCTGGTTGTGATGTGGCTTCTTCGTTTATGGTTCCTTGTGCTCAGGTGTTGTTTCTTTGACTGTTTATCCGGTGCTGTTTCTTGCTTATCTTTGTCTTGGCTGCCAGTGAGAATGTGTTTGCTTTTCTGGCTTTTGGTTTTATCTTTTAAATGGCGTAGAAAAGGGGTTTATCTCTACTGTCTGTTGATGACCAATTTGCCTGATTCCTGTCCAAGCTTTCAAAAATTCCTTAGCCGCTGCCGCTGCTTTCCCCCCCATGGAGCGCCCCACCGCTGCTTCCCCCAGTGGCAAAAGTGGAGTTTGGGAGGCAGTGGCAGGGCATAGCCCAGCAGCAGCAGCAAAAGCTCGTCCTCCCCATTCAAGAGGCCATTATATCTATATGCTAAATATAGTGTAATGGTTAAGGCAGGGGTCCCAAACCCCGTCTGTGGACCAGTACCGGGCTGTGGTATGACAGCAACCGGTCCGCACAAACAAACAAAGCCGCATCTATGGGATGCAGGCAGCACACAAAACCATGCACTCTCTTGTCCGTGGAAAAACCTTTCTCCATGGAACTGGTCCCTGGTACGTAAAAGATTGGGGACCTCTGAGTTAAGGCACCAGGCTAGAAATCTGAGACCATGAGTCAAGACTAAAGCCAATTGGGTGACCTTGGGCTGATCACTCACTCTCAGCCCTAGGAAAAAGGCAAAGGTAAACCAGTTCTAAAATTTTGTCAAAAATCTATAGGAGCTACTTCAGACAGTCCTCGGGCAAAAACAACCACAGCAGCAACAACAGCAGCTAAATATACAACAGGAAACTGGACTGGAAGAAGATTAAAATTGGACGAAGAAATATTGACAGCCTACCCTATGCTTATGACAGTACTCGGATAGATGAAAATGCAAATAGTATGTAAATGATCTCAACGACTTAAAAGTCAAAGAACACAGTGAAAAGCTAGATTAAATACAACAAAGGCCAAAGTCATGACAATAGCTACAAAAAGCAGCCTCTGACCTGGCATTGTATTGTAGTTAGGTTTACCTTTTAAAATCAACTATTGACAAGAAAAGAACCAGCAACCAAAAATATGCTGCAGAATAGCACTTGGTAGAATAACTACAAAGGCCCTAGAAAGGTAGTCAGATCAGCGTTGTGTAGGGAATGGTTTTCCCTATGACGCTCTACAGAAGTCAAAATTATGCAAAAGTATATATTTAAATATATATTTGGGTATTGCCAATGACAGCTAGTGATTGTAAATAGATATCAAATTTAATCATAAAAATCTCAAATAGGAACTGAGAACAAACTTTTAATTGCCAGAGCACTTGGGCAGCTCTGAGCATTTATACAAAACAGAACAGCACAAGTTTCACTTAAGTTTCTGAAAAGAGACAAATCGAACATAAGAATTTGGAAGAATTAAACCACAACGACCGAAGAAAGCTGTAGCATCCAACTTACTTAGAGTTTTCCTGCTCGGCAAGTTGTTATAGAGATGCTCAGCATTGATCTGTAAAGCTCGATAAAATTCTTGACAGGGTTTGTCCCCTTTCTTTTTCAAGTGAGCTATAAGGTTTGATAGCCGACTATGAAGAGGAACTTTGGGATTCCGAAACTGTAGAGAAAAAGTACTGTTTAGATTGCAAGAACTAGATTTCAGCACCACAACTACTGTACAATGTTAAAACAGTTCCCCATCCCATTTGTGCAGTCCATGAAAGAGTACAATACCAGATTTGTAGCTTATTCAAACTTATCAGTAGAATAAATGAGTCGACATAACCTGATGATGTTGCTTCTCTAAAGGATAGCAATAAAACGTTTTCTATGAGATACAATATTCATCTCTGAGCAGAAATATTCATCCTTTAAATGCTTAAATAAATAAGGAACTAATATGCTATACCAATGATGGCAAACCTTTTAGAGACTGAGTGCCCCAAAACCGCCCCGCCTGCCCCCAAACCCCCTGCTCTGCCCCTGCCCCGCCTGCCCACAGGACCACCCACCGCCGCCGCAGTTCGCCCAGGTGGCTCTGCAGCACCATGGCGGCCACCCTCCACCCGCGCGCCGCAGCATCATCTGCGCGTGACTGGGCATGAGGTTGGAGTCTTGTCTCCACTGCCCGGCTGTCATGTCCTTGGCTGCGCTATTCCACACAGGCTGTGTCCAGCGGCGACTCTCCTCCGGAGGGGCTACTGGTGAGGGAGCTGCATGGGGGAGGTGGGGCTGAGGCAACGGTGCATGTGCACACAGAGAGGGCTCTGAGTGCCACCTCTGGCACACGTGCCATAGGTTCGCCACCCCTGTGCTATACATTCAAGATCTCTGCAGTGGTCTTAGGAATATACAATGGCATAGATAACCCTTGTTATGCATCGTTACAGGAACTGTAGTTTTGTGTATTTTGTGTATTTGATAATTAGAGATCTTGGCTTTCACATAGCTACAGTTCTGGCCTTGTTTTTTTGTTACTTAACACACATGCAAAATAGCGGAGGGATTCTGCTATTTGCTAGTTTGCTAGTTTGTCTGTGCAATGTAGCTGTATTTGATCTACCTTCCCTTCAGTCAGCATTGGCAATTCTTGCTGTATTAACCTGGTTGCCAGATTTCATGTGATTTCGTTGCAAATCCAGAGTAAGAATTCATGAGTAAGCTACATAGACCTTTGTGACTGGGCTTACCCAGTGATATCCATCATAGCTGAGCAAGCAAGAGGAGAGAGAGAAAAATGGCCATTATGGAAAGGAGAAGCCAACCGCTGATTCTGGAACTTGACGACAATTCTCATAGACTCAAAAGCTCATTTTTCAGTTTTATTATCCATGTTATCCATCACAGAATCCCTTTGAATAATATCGGCCACCTGCATAGCATTATTATGGGTGGCATTTAACATATGGTACAAAATAGTTTGTTTTGTTTTTTTTAAGAAAAGATATTTCAAGGCCCCACTGCCTGCTTTGAATAATGAAAAAACTCTCAGAAATTTAAAGTCTCAGGTATTTAAGACATATGCCTTAAGACAGTTAATCTTCTTTTGTCAACTTCTTTTTATCCTCCACTGCAAATTTTTTACCAGCTACCCAGTCACATAATTATACAGATTTCCAAATGAGCATTTTCAGTTAGAAGCACCATGTGACAGTCTCATTTCAAATATTTTAATTAAAGTGAAGATATTTATGCTAGCATACATAAACCTTTACAATAAAGTCCTCAGAATTAAACTGGTATGGCCAACTTTCTTGCAAGATTCTGCCAATTCCACAAAGGTCATTAGGATACTCTAATGGTTGAACTGACATCTAACCAGGCATGCACCCTGTATATGTCCTGACCTATTATGTGCAAAATGTCCCAAGTACATTTTTTAAATTGTCCATTGAACTAGTGGGAGGGAGCAAAATTGGTATAGATGTTATGTGGTTTTACTTAAGGGCTGTCATGCCTCCGTCAGAGCCTGAATCTGCTGAGAATGAGCTGGAACAGGACCCTATGGAGGTCAAGGGAGAGGTGTCTGTGGGGAAGAGCAGGCCGAGGCAGGCCAGGGCCTTTCAGGATTGGGACAGGATGAACTTGAGAGACAGAGTTCAAGCGATGAGCAAGGGCCACCCCTTCCTGATCCTAGAACATGGAGAGTAGAGAGAAGGAGGGAACAACGCAGGCAGGCTCAACTACTCGGGAGAAGAGCATCCCGCCCCTCTCCACAAGGCACACCTGGAGACTGAGACTTAAGGAGACGCTGTGGGGAGGGGCATTTGTCAGGAACAAACGCTGATTTCTTGGAGTTTTGTGTGCTGTTGCTGATCTTGGAAACAACTCTCTGATCTCTTGTTTGGTGTTTTGATGCTTGGAAACCCTGAAACTCTGACCATTGGACTGGCTGTCAAACTTGATTTGTGTTCAGAGACCTCAGATTGTATTTTGGCTTCTCTTCTGAAACTGCTCAGGCAAGTTTGTATTTCCACAGACTGGTTAGATTTTGGATGTATGTTTCATTCCTTGTTATCTACGTGGCCTTGAGTAAACTACTCTTCTAATCTAACTGTATGTGAAACTACTTGCAGCCAGAGGCTGCTGAAGAGGTGTGTGTCTTACTTTGTTCTGGGGCTTGCCAGAAACGTGGGAGCATTTGGGGAAAATTTGGAGCAATTAAAGGGCGGTTTGACTTGCCAGCTGACTGCACTGCCTTTGTGCCGTGCCCTGGGTCATCACAAGGGCAGAGGCAGTTCCAGATAATGTTTGGATTCTGTATTTTCAAAATTGCTGGATTGCCTGCTTATTTATGAGTTATATCTTAAGGGGCAAATTCAAATCATCATACTGAACTTGATATAACCCAACTTAATTATCTATATAAATCTATAAGCGTATATTCACATTTTGATACTACTGTGAACTGAATTGAAAAACCATAGTCTATGCATCAATTGGAAGCATTCAGCCCTTGGAAATGCATCTGCATGCAAATCAGCTCATTCCTATTTTACACAGTAATGCAATTGTGATTTCCTTTGCTGGAGAACAGGTATGTGTGCAGGTGCAAACAAGAGACAATTACACTATGAGTGCACTAGGGAAAATTTTGTTTCAGATTGGATGTTCTGACTGCAAACAGAGGGCAATCCCACTCAGAGCTCTACATGAATATTAACAAACACATGGATACTGTACATCTCCTGCAGCTAGAGAATAAAAATCCAAATAGTGTGGGCATATGTTCATACCATTTGGGGGTTTGATGCCATTTAGATAAGTGTGATCTCATTAAAAGAGCTTTACTTGAAGGAGCTATGCAACATTCTATGATTTAAAAATAATTTCTTACCTTCTACATATGTTTTCCTGATATATCATTGAGTATTACCACTTTTGGGCTTGGAGTAAAAATTATAGTAACTCTTACATGTTTTTCTAAAAGACGTGGGCAGTGTAATACAAATAACCCCTAACCTCTCTTTTAGAATTTTATCCAGGGCAGAGAAGGACTAAATTTGTTCAAGTAGCATAACAGATTTTGGGGGAAACCTAGATTCATGGATAAACAAGACTTCCTGCACCACCCTTGCCTTAGCACAGGGGTAAGCAACCTTGGCTCTTTTTTGACTCATGGACTTCAACTCCATGGCTGGCTCAGGAATTCTATCCACAAGTCATAAAAGAGCCAAGCTTGTCTACCCCTGCCTTAGCGGGTCTAGTTAGCAGAGGAAGGAAGGAAGGAAGGAAGGAAGGAAGGAAGGAAGGAAGGAAGGAAGGAAGGAAGGAAGGAGTGATATTTTCTCCATTTGCAAGTTTCCCAGTCTGCATATATGCAAGAAACTACTTACTTTTTGTAACAGTGATCAAATATGCTGACCTTCTATTCACAACTAATCTATCTTGTGTTTTTTCTGGTGGCACCACTTCGTAAACTTTGGTTCAAGAATCCATTTTGTTCCATTCAAAATGGAGGGACGGTTGGTGAAGATGACAAAACTCGCTCAGATGGCCAAACTGACTTCTCCAGTCAGAGAAAAGACAATATCTACTTTTTTTGCACGCTGAAAAACCCTCATGGATTTTTTTGTGTAAAACAGAAAAAATAAACTTATGTATAATATACAGTTTTGATTATTAGGCAGGGGAGATTATAGAAGCAGAGAGTCATTGTGTAACTTTAGAGAAATGTATAATTGTACTTATAATGGCTGTAAAGAAAGATCAGAAGTCACTTCTTTGTATCTTTCTTTTTTACTTTTATATAGTTTGGTTTCTCGTTGATTTTCTTTCTTTCTTATTTTATATAGTTTGCATTAGTTTTTGCCTATGTCTCTAAAACTTTTAATGCAATTAAAAAAAAGAATCCATTTTGTTCAGGACAAGGCTTTGGGAGCATGCAGGGAAGAAAAACAATACACATATAGAATCAATGTCTCATGTACTGAAGTGCCTCATTCACTAAGAGAAGTAGTGTCAGTTTAATCTCCGGGTCCTGATTTTTCTTTACAGCAGAAACAAAATAATATTCTAGCCCAGTGATGGGGAACCTTTTAGAGACCGAGTGCCCAAAAACTGGCCCCGCTCCTGCTCCGCCCCCTGCCCCACATGGGCTGAGCTATTCTCATTCATAGCATCTATGTCCTTTAAAAAAGAAAGAAAGAAATCCTACAGTTGTGACTTAAATAGCTGAGCTTCTCTTCTAATAAATTATGTTCTGTGCACTGTGCCTTTGACAAACACCACTTATACTTGAGTCCATGATGCAGGTATGAACTAAAAATATCCATTAACAATGTATATATGAGGAATATTATATCCATTCTTGGAATTATCTTCATGCTTATTGTCAGACTTATGACTGGTATAAAGAGATGCTAACACTGCAGTCCCCTGCACTTCTGTTTACAGACTTGAATGGAATTGAGCTATATAAATGATAAAGAAGGGGAGTTGGATATTTAAGATTCTATGCTGTGGCTTCATTAGTTACATAGGGAACAAGTTTCAGCTTTCCAAATCTCCATCTATAAAATCAATGTCTTCTACAAGTATGTGTATTGTTGAAGTTTTTTAAATCAAATAGTACAAATGTGGCTATGAGAACCACATTCCTACACTGGAAGGTTTTAATTTTGGTCTCTTATTCTTGGACCACTAGAAATTATTGCTTTCTGGGTCTTATCCATTCTCAGTCACATCCAGATATTAGAGCTTTAAAATTCAAAAAAGAATTCAAGAATGCAACTCTTAACTGCATAAAATGAGCATAGAAAAATTAACATGTATCTGGAGACACTATTTTCTCTTGATTACCTTTTCAGCTTCTTTAATGGTGAGAATTTGGGGATAAACTCGATTTAGCTGAAGAATAATTTTATCAACCAGCTGTTCACTCAGTCTGCCATTGCTGGTTAGAAAAGCCGTGTCCTGCCGTAAACGATCACAATAAGTCTGATCTATAAAACAGAAACAACACACACACAAAAACAGATGATTTCTCTTAAGCGTGACTGAAATGGAAATGACACATACTTCACTCTGACCATGTCCTCACATAGCTAATAAATTTCAGACATACCTTGAAAGTATTTTATATGCTGCCATGAAGCTTTAGCCCTTCTTAGATATGTACAACATTTAAAGGGGCAGGCCTTGGATTGCAATGCCACAGAGGCCATCTTGCCTGGTTTGACCCCTGGAGGCTCCACTTAAGCTACTTATGCCATCAAACTTAAGAATGATCCTTTGCCCGAGTAGGTTGTGTATATGAGCCACTTTAGTGATAGAATTGCTACTCAGTTCAACACAGGATAAGCAATGCTGTGTTATCTCTGTAGTGTTTGCATTACAAACATTAGGACAATTATAACAGGGAAGAAGTAGGAAATGAGAAACAGCACTGTCATTTACAGCACTGTCATTTAAGTTTCTTCTTTTAAATCCATCTTTTGAAAACATATACAGGTTCAGGCTTTGTGGTAGCTTTGTTTCTGTATATTTGACATAATTAAAAAAAAAGAATTTCTTGCCTATCATCAACTGTCTTGAAAGAAAAAAAAATTCCCTTAATCAAATAAAATGCATTTCACAAATTAATGTTATAAGCCTACCTATTTTAATATATATAAACCGATAAAATCAATTTGTGAAGTACATTTGAGTAGATGGTTTAATGAAAGGGTCCCCAACCCCCAGTCTGAGGCCTGTTGGGGGGCCCATGCAAGCGACAGGCATGCACGTGAAACCATCCCTTCCCCCCTGCTGTGGTTGGGGACCACTGGCTTAATCTGTTCTAGTTACAAGTGGTCCTCAATTTATAACCATTCATTTAGTGACCATTCAAAGTTCAACAGCATTGAAAAAAGTGACTTATGGCTGTTCCTTGCAGTTATGTTCATAGCAGATCCTCAGGGCCTTTAGAACCAGATGTTTCTCTTAACAACTGCAGTGATGGACCATAACAATTATGGCAGGGGTAGGCAAGCTCGGCTCTTTTATGACTCATGAACTTCAACTCCCAGAATTCCTGAGTCAGCTATTCTGGGAGTTGAAGTGCATGGGTCTTAAAAGAGCTGAGGTTGCCTATCCCTGAATTATGGTAAAAACAAGGTTGTAAAATCAGACACAACTCACTTAAGAACTGTCATTGTTGCTGATTATTCTAGTCCTAGGTCTATTCTCTCAACAAGCAGTATGTACAGCATATCACAAACTCTGAAATTATTAGACGTTTAAATGAGTTAAATCATTGCCAAGAAGGACATATGTTTTTAAAAGCAATGATTCTTTATCAAACATGTTATCTTAAATAAAGCAAAATAAAAAACAGTAGATTAATTGAATGTTCTGAATGTTTTCATAGAACTGAAAAAGGCATGAAGCTTACTAGGTTCCATGTATGCAAATATAACATTAGCAACAAACCCAGGTTTTATGTCTGCAATTATGATGCATTAAAGAGTATTTTGCTTTTTATTTATTTACTTTATGCTTCCCATTAGTTCAATTAACGAAAGGCAAGAAAATAAACACTACTGTACTCAGACTGTGTAATTGGAAAGTATGGTTTAATATTATACTGTAGTATAGACTATGCTACTGTGCTCAATAGCCTCATTTGGTTTAGTATCAGAAGGTTATCTCTAGTTATGCCAAAATACACACATCTTGCTCACAAACATACAGTATTAAATATTTGATTGATATTAGCAAACCATAAAATGCATAAATATATTGCTTAAAATGGTTTTAAGATGCAAAAGATACATACAACCATCATTTAATCAACCATATTTTCACAAAAGGAAAACAAATCCTATAAAAAACTCATTTTTCTTCAAAGGAAGAAACACTAATTTAACTCTTTTACTGTATTCTTGTAAAATTCAGATCTCATAAAATCTAAGAAATCTAAGGTCTCATAAAAATCTAAGAATATTGTATATAGCAGCAGTCCTCAACTCCTGGGCCATGGCCCACTATTGGGCCGTGAACTGTTTGGAACCGGGCCACAGAAGCGGCAGGCGAGCACGTGCATCCCGACTTGCGTGAGCAGGGGGGAATGCGTGCATTCCATTTGCGTGAGCAGTGGATGTGAACCATTCCTTCTCCCCCACCCGCGGGTCCGCAAAGGTTGGGGAACTCTGGTATATAACACCTAACTTACAATAAAATAATTGTATTTAAAACTATTAGTAACAATGAAATAATAATAATATCTAACATTTAAATGAATTATAATTACTATGAATGCATTGTGCGAGAGAGGGCCATCAGAGGTTGACAGATCTTCTGTGCTACAGTATAGTGTCTAGAAACTATTACACTCCCACACATACAACTAAAAGCATGGCTCTGGTATGTAGACATTTGTCATAATAAAAAAAAGGAAAACTAGAGAAGACACATGAAACAAACACATCTTCAAAGAAATAAAATTCACAAAGGAAGAAGGAATCAACATACTACCACCCACACTAATCAAGTGCTCCCCTACCAAAGTAACAACTCAACCTCCTACAAGAAGAGCTATGTAAGAACATTATTCATACAAGCACAAATGCATTTCAGTAACTCAGAAAACCAGAAAAAGGAAACAGACTGTCTATACAACTTATTTCAAACAAAATTTATACCCACACAACTTTATCAAAAAGTGCCTGACCACTCCACCCACTACAGCACAGCCAGCACAAGCTATGAAAAGGAAAACAGTATCATACATAAAAAGAATCTCGGAAACAATATCAGACTATTACAACCACAGTGCATCACTGTAGCACAGCAACAAACTAAAACTCTCCAAAAGATCTTAAGTAAATCAAAAGACGAAAAAAACAAGAGTCGTCTACAACTAACAGTGTAAGGATTGCAATAGCCATTATGTAGGACAGAGAGGCAGAAGACTAATATAGCCCATCCATGAATTAGGAGGCAGAAGACACAATGAAAACTCCTTAATCTCTTAACATATGAACCGATTCAACCATAGTTTTAACGGGAAAACTGAGCATCCTAGATCAAGCTAAATCAAAAAACACTAGGGAATTCCCAGGAGCTTGGCATTCAGATGAATCAATTTATTAATCAGAAGGTTTATCAATCAGCCATCAATAAAATCAGCTATCAGTAGACATGAAGAGATAAACCACATATACTGTATACATTAAGAAAACCAAGATCATGGCATCCGGCCCTCTCAATTCCTGGCAAATAGATGGGGAAGAAATGGAGGTAGTGACAGATTTTATTTTCCTGGGCTCCAAGATCACTGCAGATGGGGACTGCAGCCAAGAAGTTAAAAAGATGCTTGCTCCTGGGGAGGAAAGCTATGGCAAATCTAGACAGCATACTAAAAAGCAGAGACATCACTCTGCCAACAAAAGTGTGTATAGTCAAGGCCATGGTTTTCCTAGTTGCAATGTATGGCTATGAAAGTTGGACCATAAGAAAGGCTGAGCGCCAAAGAATTGAGGCCTTTGAACTATGGTGCTGGAGAAGACTCCTGCAAGTCCCTTGGACTGCAAGGTGTTCAAATCGGTTAGTCTTAGAAGAGATCAACCCCGACTGCTCTTTAGAAGGCCAGATCCTGAAGTTGAAACTCAAATACTATGGTCACCTAATGAGAAGGAAGGACTCACTGGAGAAGAGCCTAATGCTGGGAAAGATTGAGGGCAATAGAAGAAGGGGACGACATAGAATGAGGTGGCTGGATAGAGTCAATGAAGCAGTAGGAGTGAGCTTAAATGGACTCCAGAAGATGGTAGAGGACAGAAAGACCTGGAGGAACATTTTTCCATGGGGTCGCGATGGGTCGGACATGACTTCGCAACTATCAACAACAACAACAACTGAATACACCATTCAAAGAGACAGTAAAAATGCTAAGGAGGAAACAAATCCTCTCCAGCACCCTATACCCAGATAAGTGGAGAGTAACACTAGATAAACAAGCACAAAACAATACCCTAATGAAGGAACTACCGGTACCAAGGAGAAACCATACCGCTTACCAATACTGGCAAGGCAAACTACTGTATATAAACAAGAAGCAAACCCTAAAACCATTAGCATTGATTTGGTAATGAGACATCTGCAAGCAAGCAACCATGCTCAGAGAGGCTGGATTCCATTTAACAGAAAATAAATTGGAGAAAAGAACTAATATATTTTCCAAAGCGCCTGAAAGCAGGACAAGAAGCAATGGATGGAAACTAATTAAGGAGAGAAGCAACCTAGAACTAAGGAGAAACTTCCTGACAGTTAGAACAATTAACCAGTGGAACAATCTGCCTCCAGAAGCAGTGAATGCTCCAACACTGGAAGTTTTTAAGAAGAGACTGGACAGCCATTTGTCCGAAATGGTATAGGGTTTCCTGCCTGAGCAGGGGGTTGGACTAGATGACCTCCAAGGTCCCTTCCAACTTTACTACTATTATTATTATATTTTCAAGTAAATGCAGTGTTATCACTAAGTACCATTTCACTAAGTAATCCAAATAAAAGAATAATTCAGCTATTTTTGTTTGTGGAGCAAGAGGAAAGCTAACAAAGGAAAATGCTCTTTATTTTGGCTTTGGCACAGATGATAAACTGAGTCTTTACACAAAACAGGCCATTATGGAACTTAGAATGACCAGGTCATTATGATAACTCTAGGTGTTTAAGGCCTAATCCACCTCCTTCTTTCCTTGTTTCTTTGAAAGAATCAGACAATTCACACAAATGGAGAATTTGATTGCTGTTGGCACCAAACCTCTAAGGTATTATTATATAAGGCCTCATTATTTGGAAGAATGTAGTTACAAAACTGTTAAAACTTAGGCAACTTTTCAGACCCAGATCTGGAGGCAAGAAAGGCACCTGATTTCTGATAGTTGAGGCTTCTGCGGTCTCTGAAGGGAAGCAAGCTATTTTCTTGCTTTTTGCAAGGCCCTCAGTTGGCAAAGTTGGAATT